TGTCTGATCACATGCCCTTCCGCCAGGCAACGTAGTGCTGTACAACAGCGGAACAAATAAAACAAATCGTCTTACGATATCACAAAAAGTCATGGACAATCCATAGAAAAGCCGCACCTGACTAAAAGCCGCAGGGTTCAAAGCTTGTGCAAAAAGTAGCGGCTTATAGCCCGACAATTACGATACATATTATAATATATCTATATTTAAAAACATTGCTTTTTGTATGCAGAGAGCAAAGTGAATCACAGTCACATTCCTACATTCACATTATATTCACATATTTTTTTACGCATTGCCAGCATTTGTTATTAAGATGTAGAATAACTTTAACCATTAGAGTTGGGACACATAAAGATAATTTACATAGAGCTACTGTATCATGTTGAGCTGCTTAACACTCCTTGTCACTCAACACACTCTGTGACTTCACTTTAACAGTTCAATGTGAGATAAGCTTCACTCTTATGGTACAGTCACACTAGTGAAGACAGTGGTTGGAGCCTGAGGCACAACTAAAATTGTCGTGCCCGTGTGCAACAAACTTGCAATCTTGTTGCCTTTTCTTGGACTCACCCATTCGTCAATTCAATTCAGTTTTATTTATTTAGAAACCAACCCACAATAGTTGCCTGAAGGCGCTTTGTATTCTAAAGTAAAGACCCTACAATAATACAGTGATTCCCATTCTACTTTTTTACTTAATATCCTAGGAACCACAAGTAAGCCAGCAGTCTGAGAGTGTGGTGCTTTAGTGATATGGTACTATGAGGTCTTTAAGATAGAATGGGGTCTGATTATTCAAGACCTTGAATTTGTAAATTTGATTCTGGATTTAACAGGGAGCCACTGAAGAGAAGGAGAAATGTGCTCTCTTTCTAGTCCCTGTTCATGCTGACTGCAAAATTTAAAAACTAATTTGCGGCATTTATTTTTCGAAACAGTCTCTACTTTTTGGATCCAAATAAACAGATCTGACCAATCAGATCACTGCTTTTGGTAAGAAATGTAAATTTCATTTGCAAGAACTTTTAAAAATACTGCTTGAACATTTGTGTTTTTCAAATGTTCCTTTGCTGTTTGTTAAAGAAAACAGTGGTGTTACGAAAAAATATTACAGATTGTGTTATTTTAATGTGAAATGTCACAATATTGGATACTGGATGTGTTTTTCTTAAACAGTGTACTACATTTCTCAGTTTTATTACTTAGGCATTTGTGCCAGTGCAGACTAATGCTGCCTTTGGTGGCTAAAATCTGTATTGGCCAGCTGCTGTGGACAAACCAAAACAAATCTTCAGACTGTCCTGCCTGAAGAGAGGCATAGAAAAGAAGTCTGTAGG